TTCTTAAACCTCTCAGTGGAGGAGGAGACATAGCTTTGGGATGAGAGCCTGAGCCTGGCCGGTCAGTCATACATTGCAGTGAGTGGGACACCAGATATTCCAGCTGCAGGGAGCCTGACACCAGGGTCTTGGGCTCTGGGTTCTCTTTAAGCTTCATTAAACATGTATGCACACAGACACACACACACACTCACATGCATGCACACACACACAAACACACACACTCACATGCACACACACATACACACACACACACACACACACACACACACACACACACAAAATTCTTGTTTTAGAATGATATCTTGTCCCCGAGGTGTTCTTGATAGATCAACACCTAGATTTTCAGGGAAGTTTCTGCTAAACACATTTGCATATATTACTCCATCACAGGCCTCCTACATCAGCACCTCTGAGTGTGTGTGGCCTTAGAAAATATATCAGGTTGTCAGTTTCCCTGGGAAGCCCCACTGGTCCCTCAGACAAAGCTGAATTGTCACTTTAACTACTGCAGAAATGTGAAACTGCAGGAAACGCTGATACCATCTCTCTCCCTCTCTCTCTCTCTCTCTCTCTCTCTCTCTCTCTCTCACACACACACACACACACACACACACTCACTCACTAGTACTAGCTCATTTATTCTAAAAACTTGTGAAGTACAATTTTTACTTCACCCTCTGTGAGATTTTTCAATACAAGAAATACTTAATTTCAGTAATGAGAAAAACATGGCTGAAACTTTTCCGTTTAACATAGGAATCTGTGTTGGCGCCAAGCTATTAGCAATTCTTCACCACCACTTTCTACTATCATTTCAGAAAGACGTGGTGTCTCGTTTGCCTAGCTCTGTGCAGAGTTTCATTCCTTCATTAATCCACATTCCTTCCATTCTCTTAACAACAACAACGACAAAACCTACTCAGCCCCCTGTGCTGTGTAATGGTCTCTGAACGTCCCCCTCATGCATTTCCTGACATCCTCTCATACATCACAGCGCCCTCTAGAGAAAGTGCAAGGGCGAGGCTTAAAGACCCAGAATCTAGAAGCAGGAGTTTGAGGTTGCCCGGATGTTTTGGATCCAGACATCTCAGTGTGCCTGCCTTTCTTAGTCCCTCTTCTCCAGTGGTGATGAAGGACTGAAGGATTAAGGACCTGCAGGTGATTGTACTATCCAGTAACTAAGGCCGGAGAAATCCTGACTGGTGTGAGATCACGCGGTGCTGTTTCCACCCGTGTGCCGAACAGTCACCCCGTACCAGTATTTTGTGACTGGGAACCACAAACGCTTCACCACAACCCATGTCCACGCAAGCTTGCTTTTAAACCAAATGCTCTACTTTTGCCTTCTCATAGAATGGCTGTCCCTAGACTTCTACCGTATGATATTACAGACATAAAAGTTCTGAAGTCTGAATACTTTTAGATTCCAATAGTTTTCTTAATTTAAAATACAGGACCATAGCCATCCAATAGAGAGTCTGGATCCACTGGACTTAGAGAAGTCTGTGACCCTGCATTTCTCTGCCATGGTTCAGGAGTCTGTGGAACACACTTTGAGAAGTTGCTCCAGAGCCACACGGGTCTCTTAGCTCAGAGCAGGCCTTGTCTTTTTGTGAACTGTAACTGCTAGAGGCAGGCTGCCAGGGAGCATGCTTTGAGGAGAGTTTCTTCGGCAGCTCCCACGGTGACAGGAAGAATGTCCTTTGCTTTGCTGAGTGGGTCTGCTGAGGGTGTGAGTTGAACAGTGTCCAGAGATCAGGGTTCCTCAGTGAAGAAGGTCTTAAGATTGGAATGGACCTTGAGTGACAGGCAGGGGGAAAGTGGGTGGGAATTAACTGACCCTTCTTGGAAATGACTTTGATCTCGAGGACAATTGGCAGCTGGGTTTTCTGAAACAAGGCAGTGCGACTATTGTTCACTTGAACTTTTATCTATATGAATAAGGCTTCTGGGTCAAGTTTTCCAAATAGTCTTCCCAATTTTATTATTTTTGTAACAACTTTACTTAGTTATAATTCACATATTGTACAATTTGTCCATTTAAAGAAAGGGTATAATTCAGTGTTTTTCATGCATTCAGAGAATTGTGAAGTAGACACCACAGTCAACTGTAGAATAATTTTATCACCTTGGGAAAACAAACACCAGCCCCCATATTCATTAGCTCTTACCTACGCCCACGATCTCTCCACTTCCCCAGCACTCAACAACCACAAAGCGACTTCCTGTCTATGGATTTATTGGCTGTCGACGTTTTATCGAAATGGAATTGTATAGTCTGTGCCTCCTGTGACTGGTCTTTCACTTAGCATGTCTCCAGGGACCACCCACATTGTAGCATGTGTGAGTACTTCATCGTACTGGCTGGGTACCCCAGGTTTTAGTTCTATGTTCATCCAGTTGACTTACTCTTGGGCTGTTTCCTTCTTCAGATGGAAATTATAAACTTAAGAAGTATGAAACTGTTTATGTACACATTTGAGGTAGATTTGGGGTAACTCTGTATCAGTTTTTGAGGAACTCCCCACCCTGTAGGAGGGTTCAGTCACCACCCCCCACCCCACCCTCACCGGTCCCTCAAGTTCCAGCCCCTGCCTATTTTACTATTATCTTCCACACCAAACTGGACCCAGTGGCTTTGAATCATTGTTGGAAGAGATCTGTTTCATACAGCTCAGTCAAGGATGACCGAATACTTACCGTAAGCAGGTGTGTGAAGTATCGAGATCTGGTTACAGGAATCTCAAACACAAATACTGGAGAAACGGCGTTAATTGCTGTCACTTTAAAGGCTGGGACAATTTTATCTAGATTTGTGTTTATGGGAACAAGAAAAAGAATCTCACAGCCATAACGTTGCTGACAACAACAGAGGGAGTGGGGGTGGGGGAGAGAAATGGAACAACAAAGCTCCCTGAGGTAGGTGCTTCCAGGAAGGTTCTATGACCTTCTAGTGGGTAGAACTGGGGATAAAAACCACTTATGAATTTCACTTCTCTCTGCTTCTGCGTGTTTCTACAGAGAGGAAATGCCTAGAAACTTCAGGCATTTGAAGTCCTTAGGCAGATTCTTAAATGTAAAACATGGAGAAGTGGACAGACCCTAAGCATGACTGTATGGATTTTCACAGTGATCCTTGCTGTGTAATTAGCCCTGGCACTAAGACATGGATTGTCACCAGCACCTCCCCCAACCCTGCCCTAGTCATAAGTATCCCCAAGGAAAGGAGGGTACCCTGACTTCTAACACCAACATTCTTAGACACAAGGAAATGCATTTTTAATAGCGTGGTTCGGGTGACAGGCGCTGGCCAATAGAATAGATTTGTTTAGCAGAGAGGATGTCTGAACACTCAGCAGACATGTTGTATTGCAGAGTGTCAGCCGGCCTTAAAAATTAAATACTTTTAAGCTTGTGCTTAAAAGTTATAACCACAGCACCGAGGAAACTTAACTCATCTTCACCTGCAATTTAAGAGTGTCCATTGTAGGCTTTTTTTTTTTAAAGTATGCAAGACATCAGACTTCCAACGTTTATTTAAAAAGACATTGACTTTCCCTTCCGAATCCCGAAGTTTATCCCTGGGAGCAGTCTGCAAGGAAGGTCCCAGGCACTATTAATCACAGGTGGTTTAATGGCTTAAAGAGTGTGTATGTAAACATATGCACAGTGGTAATATATCACAAGGTGTGAGGGAATGACGATATAAATACAGCCTTTAGCATCAGAGCACACAAACCTGCATTTCTCTCGTTTTACTGAACAGGAGAGAATTAAATTCCCTCACCTATCCAAAAAGACAAGCTTTCCAATGCTCCAAGTGCCTGCAAGCTGACACTGCTCTGGCTGGTACCTGGCAAAGAAGTCCATTATCAGCCGCTCACCAATGATACATTAGCCGTCTAGACATTCTATTAGGGGAAACTATTGTGCAAGGGAGAATAATTGCTTTTTCTTTAAAGCTCGATAGACGTATCATAAATTACCAAAGTAGATAACGAGTTCATTAGACGATTTCCCGGGAAGTTTGGGAGTCTGTGTTCTATCAGGTGATGTCAATTAGCTCCTGGTCAAAGCTAGAAAGATGGAGCCAACAGGGCTGCCCTGGGCTCTTTCATTATGAGTGCTGGGTAGTGACTCCCAAAGTAACTTGGTTTTGCCACTCTTGTTCCTACTCTGGTGCTGGGAAAGCACTGTGTCCTCTCCTGGCAAAGGCTGCAGCGTCAGCGCCGGGAATCCTCCGGTAGGGGCCATAGACGCAGGTCGTGCTCCCAGGCAGTAACGTCCAGGGAATCGTCATCTTCCCAGGCTTGGACCTTTTCCCGTCGGGTTGCCCGCAGCCCCTCCTCCCGGCGGAGGTGGGGGTGGGGGGAGGAGAATCGCACGGGAACTTCCTTCCATTTAAAAGTCGCCAGGGTCCCACTTTCAGGACGGCCCTCAGAGGGACCCGGGTCTACGACACTTCCCTCGGCACGGTTGTTGGGGACAAGACTCTGAACAGTGGGCCGCTAGCTGCGGGGGCCCGCTGTTCCCTGACGCCTTCCCCGGGTGACCCCAAGGCGGTGGCGCACTTGTCGCCGTGGGTGACCGAGAGGGG